GCCCCCACATATGCAGAGGATGCCTGGCTTCTCTGGCATGATGAATCCCGAGATGGAGGGCCCCCCGAGGCCTGGAATGGGATGGCCTGATGAGTTGCCTCCCCGTATAGGAGAAGCGCGTTTCCCTGGAGGACCTGGGCCAATGTTTGCTGGTCCAGGAGCTCGTGGTGAGCGTTTCCCAAACCCTCAGTCAGTCCAAGAGGCAATGTTTCACCAAGGAATGGGTGGAGAGAAGGGTCTTCCTCCTGGGATGATGATGGACATGCAGAGGATGATGGGACACCAAAGAAGTGGAATGGAACCAGGTAATGGCATGGGTATGTTTCCCAGAATGCCCAGTGATGGTCCCATGAGTCCTTCCTCTAGACTGCCAGGAATAGGGGGCCGAGAAATGGGACCTGAGTTCGGCATGGGGCCTGGCCCGGGGCCAGGACCTCATATGCATCCTTCAAAACTACGAGATCCCCCCATGAATATGAGCCCTGATGAGATGATGAGAATGAGAGGGGGTGGAGGGCCAATGGAAAATATGGGTCCACAAGGCAGGCCCATGCAGGGTCGGTCATTCCCTGAGCAGACGCAGCCAGGAGACTTTCCTATGGGGCCTGGGAGATCCTTTCCTGGGGGTGCTGGAGGAATGAGGGGTCCACATGCAGACCAAGCATTTGGTCCAGAGCACAGATCTACACCAACTGGAGGCAATGGCCGTATTAATCATATTCCCTCTGCTGGGGGTCCTGCACAAGGCCAGAGGGGCCGCAAGCCAGCAGATCTGAATGTCCAAGCAGGAGGTGGGAACTCTCCCAGTGTTAATCCACTTAAGTCTCCTCCTCTGAGGCAAGTGCAGTCCCCCATGATGGGCTCTCCCTCGGCTAATCTTAAGTCCCCTCAAACACCGTCCCAACTGGCTGGCATGCTCACCGGTTCCACAGGCCCTGCTGCCCCCCCAGCACCTCCAACTTCAGCACCAATGAAGTCTCCTCACTCCATGATGGGATCAGCAGGTGCTTCTCCTGTTCATATGAGATCTCCTTCTCTCCCTAACCCATCTCCAGGATGGGCTTCCTCACCAAAACCACCCATGCAGAGTCCTGGAGTGCCCCCTCAGGGTGGCAAGCCTCCGCTCAGTATCACCTCACCAAATATGATGCCAAGTATGGAGCAAGGTATGCATTGTTTTTCCTTTTCTGTTGTTATCTGTACCCTTTTCTTGTAAAAAGAAAATTCCTAAATAAAAACAATGAAAAAAGAGAAGTTTTATTCAGTTAATATTGGGATTTTATTTTTTAAATGATTATTGGGTTGAATTTTAGTTATAGTTATTGTCTCAGTGATCACATTTCAGATATTTGACTCAACTTGTTGAAACAGAATCAACCTAAAAACTGAAAATGATATGGATCTGATGTGTCTATCTTCCATGTTCATCAGATCTTTCAGATTAACACATCTGTGGGGTGGGGTTGGGTGGGTTATGGTCCAGTGGCTCCCTCTTCTGGCCACATAATATAGTAGCCACATTATCTTACTAAGTCTGAATTTGCACACAAATTGCAAGGAATGTCACTTGTGGTAGTTTAATGTGAAACAATCCACAAGAAGAAAAAAAAAATCGACTGTTGTATTTTATTATTTCTTTGTCATGTCCTCTGTTTCTTCATATGTTGTCGTCTAGGTGGTAACGGCCCTCCCTCAGCCCCTCCTTCATCAGGTGCTCCATCTGGCTCCATGTCTCACCCAGGGAATGTCCCGTCTGGTAGCCCTTACACCATACCTCCTGAACCAACACTATCCCAGAACCCGCTCTCCATCATGATGTCACGCATGTCCAAGTTTGCAATGCCCAGCTCCACCCCACTTTACCACGATGCCATAAAGACTGTTGCCAGCTCTGATGATGACTCACCGCCAGCTCGCTCCCCTAACCTGCCGTCAGGGAACAATAATGGTAAGACGTGAAATATCTTCTGTATAATATTTAATTTCAGTTCTCTGAACTTGAGCTACTTTACCAGTCGCTATACTCTGTATATAATTTCTTTTTGACTTATAGGTATGGCAATGAATCACCAAGTCAATCCACGTATGATGGGACCTGGAAATGCTGGACCTATGCCTGCCCTCAGCCCTCTAGGTATGAATCCAATGGGATCCCAGCCTCTCTCACATGGCATGCCCCCACAGATGCCCTCTCCCAATGCCCCAAATATGGGCCCAGGCATGATGCCTCATGGTATGATGATACCACCAAATCCTCAAGACCCTGGTATGGCCAACCCTCAAATGATGCCACAGGGACGCATGGGTTACCCTCACCGGGGCCAGGGATACCCCCTAACCCAGTCACCTTCCCAGCAAGGCCCTTTCTCTCCGCACAATGGTCCCGGTCCCCAAGGCTTCCCTGGCCATCCTATGGGTTTCCAGGGAGAGGGAGGACCTATGGGAGGACGGATGGGGAATATGTCTCATGGGGGAGGGGCTGATGGGGTTATGTGCAAACCCAATACCCCTGGTGGGCCAGAGTTCAATAACATGCAAGGTGGATTCAGTGACGCAGACCTTCATGAGGTAATGCGGCCGGGAGCTTCTGGTATTCCCGAGTTTGACCTGTCCAGGATAATCCCTTCAGAGAAGCCCAGTCAGACTCTGTCTTACTACCCTCGAGGTGGAGGAGACAACCCCGGGGGGAAACCGCCACACCCTTCTGGCTTTCCCATGCAGAGCATGATGGGCGACGGCCCACCAAGGATGGGGATGCCAATGCAGGGGATGGGGGGAATGTCAGGGGGACCTGGTCCTGGGGGAATGGGCCCTCAAGACATGCCAATGGGCAACCCTGGCCACAATTCAATGCGGCCACCGGGATTCATGGGCCAAGGCATGATAGGCCCTCAGCATCGGATGATGTCCCCTGGGGGCCCAGGAGGGATGATCCAGGGGAGACAAATGGCCCACCCAGGTCCTGGAGGCTCACCTAACATGATGATGTCACTGCAGGGCATGGGCGGCCCCCCGCAGCAGACAATGATGATGGGGGGTCAGATGAGGCCTCGTGACATGGACATGGGCTTCAGTCCGGGCCCTGGAATGTTCTAATCCAACAGAAACATTGTATCTAGAATGTTCTTGGACAATACACAAGGAAGGAGTAATGATATCGGACTCCGGAGAGTATTCATTAAACTGATGGACTCGAGTAAAGGAGGTAAAATATGAACGAGATGGCGTACCCAGAAAATGAGCAGAGTGGAGATAACCAGTCACCTGGTAATGTCCTGTGTGAACTATTCCGGCGGAGACTGTGACAGGGCCGCATTGGAGTACTTTTGCCACAAGAACATTTAATTTTGACTCATGAACTTCAGAATGTATGGGATTGTTGTGGTCACACAGTTTTGCAAAACTGTTCATGTGGGGGGGTTTTTGGGTTGTTTTTTTTGTTTGTTTGTTTGTTTTTGGGGTTTTTGATTATCTGACTGTAAAGATGACTTCGACATCAAAGAGGAATCAAACCTAACTAAAAGTCAGCGTGGAGATGCTACAGTATATGTCTACTTTTTTGAAATTAAAAAAACAAAACAAAAAAACAAATTTGTCACGAAAGTGGTATGGAACAAGAGAAAGGAAAGAAGAATTTGTGCTTTGTGAAGACTTTAGTGGAAATCCATCTTGTCTCTCGCTCCATTGTTTTGACTGTATCTGTACAGTATATACGTGAGAGTGCGTTGGCGTGCTTGACCGAATGTGCGTTTGTGTGGTATGTATGTATGTGTCTGTATGTATAGGCATTCTATCAGTGACCTCTCAACTCCTCTTACCAAGCTTTCATTGGGGGAGGAACGTCCCCCTAAAAATACTGTACTGTTTACCATTGGTGGGCTATTCAAATTTTAGTCTATTTTAATTTTCTTTGTAACTCCAGTGTATAACAAACCAAACTATGACCTCATTAAGATAATAGTATTATTAAAAAAGCACAAACATGGACCATCTGCAGAAAGCGTCTTCTTTCTCTATTTTTACCATTGAGAGCAAACACATTTTAAGTGTGAGGATCCTGGCAGCTTTGCAGCACCATGATAATCTCCAGTCCATTTCAAGTTGTAGATGACATTTGGCTCTGTGCTCCAAAACTTTCAGGACTTCCTACGCTCGCCAGCGTGAATACTATTGCTAATACCCAGATGTGCTGTGTTCTTCTTGTTCCTGTTGTGTTCCTGTTTTGTTTTGACTCTCTTGTTGACTCTGGGTAATGATCATTCCCACAGCAATAATCTCCCGATGGTCAGCAGAATAGGACAGGAGTGGCTGTACGCCGCAGCAGGTATGCCAGGTATTATAGAACTAGAGCTAGGTAGATCTGGTATAAAAAAATTTAAACAGATAAAATAATTTTTTTTTTTTTTTAGTAAGGCAGGTGTGGTGTCCGGAGTGAGACACAGAAATGTAAACACGTACTGCTTACCATCCAGTTGACTTCTTCTCTTTTCTCTATTGTATAAGCTTGTCATGTGTTTCTCCATTGGCTTTGGTGCAGAATAGCCTACCAGGGCTGTGGTGATGGACTACAAATAAAAGATATTCTTTTGTTATACACATGTCTATGGAGTGTGTGTGTGTGCACACGTGTGTATGTTTCCACAGAGGAGTCTTTACTATTTCACTTACAAGGACTAGTTACGCGTCTTTGTCTTGTACATACTCATACCAGCTTACCAACATTCTGCTACAAGAAGTGCAAGTCATATTAAGGAGCAGCGTTGATATGCTGACATTTTATCAGGAGGTACTAAGTGAGACTATTTTCAGAGGACACCACACTTCTAAAATAGATTCAAGCTTGTTGATGCGTTCAAATGCTTCTCCATTAGCTTCAGAAGAGGCCTTGAGGTTTTTCTAACCTGTATTTTAAAAGTTTCATTTGGCCTGTGGGAATAGTTCAGAGCCTCTCGCAAGATGTGAGCTTACAGGGGGGAGAAGGAAAAAAAAAAGACTCCATATTGATTAAAATCTGTATTCATGTCACACCAAACCAAAATAAATCTTTACATTTTGAGTGGCAGGTCATGGGAACCTCCCACAGATGAGGTACAACGTGTGTTTCTGGAACAGCGCAACGCTTGGGTCCGTGTGATTCAAGCATGCATTGCACTGTGGTCTCACAAGGAGGCAAAATGTTGCATTCAAAACATGTAGCAGAATAAGTGTTCTAACACAGTCTCTACTCTACACACCTTTCTAAACACTTGATCCAGTACATTAAACTATACTTCCCTGAAGAATGATTGAAATGAATATGATGAATACAGTTGGGAGCGCAACTGATTTGATGGAATAATTTAATCAGCAATCAAACACAGGCCACATAATACAAACCTGTCCATATATCAGTGTGATGTATAACTGCAGTAGTTGTTTAAAAGTGTAAAGGAAAGGTTGAGAATGCTGTTGGAGATGTTAACAAACACCACCCCAAAAAGAGGAAAAACAACAAATTTATCCTATGAATAAATATCAATGCTAGACTAAAGCCTGATGTAATACATTCCAATGTGCCATAAAGGCCTCATTTCTAAGTTAATTAAAAACACAAACCACATTTTACTGACTGAGATGTCCCCTAGTTGCAAAAAACATGATTTTCTTTGCAGCATTCACATATGCTTTATATTTTCCCAGTGCAGCAAATGCTTGCAACCATAAAGAATCCCAAACAAATGTAAACTTTCCTCCTGTTCAGGTGAGTTACCAGTTGATTCTTAAAAATGAAGCTAATTGTGGGGTTAACAATTAGAAAGTATAAAATAACTTCAGCCTTAATCAGTAAGCTTAACTTGCATTCAAATATAAAGCATCTATCACACTCTTCCACTTTGCACTCAGCTGTTATTGAACTAATCGTTTAACTTAATTTTAAAGGTTCTATATATCGGGTTTTTCATATAGCAGCAAAAAGCTATTCATACAGATGTAGTGGAGTGATGATGATCTTAGCAGAGGACGAAGCTGCAAGCCTCCTGCGTGTTGTAAAATGAGTGTCTTTGTTCTTTGTTGTTGTAGCCACATGTGCGTTAGTGTACGAGTCCCTCCCTTTGAAAATGTTTGTCCTCCCTGCATTTATAAAGAGACAGAATGCAGTTCAGAGTATTCACATGGTGCCCCACCCCCACAAAGAGCACAAACAGAAGAGGCAGGGGAAGTCAAGGTAATGTTACTACAGTTTATGACATTACCAAGCGCAATAAAAGCACCCCATCAATTGTTAGTCCATCTAAGATGTCAACGAAATCTGTGTGTGTGTGTGTGTGTATGTTTTTTTAAAACACACATCCAATCTGAATGCAGGACAAAAAATATGGGAAAAGTGCCGCTGATGGTGGGTGGGCATGCAGCATATCACAGCCATTTAATGGCTTTTACTGTGTTTGCATAGAGTGATGGTCGGGGCTGGATGCTTTTTGTTGGCTCACGTGTGCACAACCTTTCTGTTTGTAAATGAATTGCAGAGAGAAAGGGGGTGGGGGGGTGATTGCTTTGGTCTTAAGATGCCAGTGCTCTAGTGCACCATTCAGTGCTTCAAAATGTCATTTATAGCACCTTTAATGTGATTGCCATGGTAACAAGATGATGTTGACTCCTGAAAGCAAGCGGTGTAACCCGAAAGCTCTACAAAAGTGGCTGTACTCCAGCGTGCTCTGACAGTGAGATGATAATGACTGATGCCGGCTGGATGGAGAGAGGACTGAGGATGTTAAAAAGGCATGATGCGTGCTGGCTGTCAGCGGTGTGCCGATGCGAAGGCTTGCTCAAGGTTCAGTCGGGCCTACGGTTCTGTTGCAGTGCGAGTGGTAGTCTTCAGGGCTCAGCGAGTACGTGGAGAGGACCCGTTTGAACTCCTCCAAGGGGCAGTAGACTGCACTACAACCCCCAATGAGTTGATCCTGCAGAAAGAAAAAGTAACTTGAGGTTATAGAAAGAAAAAAAAAAATGCAATTTTTTTTTTGTTTTTGCTCATCCTGCGACACATTCTCAGCTCCTACCTCGCCTACATATGACACTTTAACAAAGGCCTCATTAGTTTTCCGGTTCTGGTGCAGCTCCACAGTGAGATCAGCGGCATACGGTGGCCATCTCATGTCAAAAATCCCCAAAGCCAAGAGACAAGGAATCAGAGTGGTGTCATGTGCGGAGTACAAAAACGCCTTCCTGTTCGAGAGAGCATTTCAAGAGTGAAGCATTTGAAGACCAACCACAGTTATGTGTGAAATAATGCGCGTCCAACCTGCTTGGCTCTGATGAGGTGCCCTGTAGTTTCTCCTCGATGTTGTCCACCAACATGTGCAGGAGAGGTCCCACAGACAGCTGCAAGCTCTCTCTGCCACAGACAGCAAGAGAAAGGCAGCCTGTGAAGCTGAATGCACAAGTGGTAAATCTCAATCTGGCCTTTTAGATAAGCCCCTGGGACTGGTGACTTTGGTTAATCTGACCTCTTGCTGGGCTCGAAGATATGGCACATCATATCCACGGCTCTTTGCTCCACTTTATCCCTCCAGGTGTCGAGCACTTGAGGGCAGGGCAGGCCGTGTGTCTGTTAATGCAAAGGAACAAGTCGCAAGTCTTCAAATAACTCCGTATAATTTCTGTTTAAATAGCATGAAGCTAAATGCATTGATTTCATTTGTCTGTGAGAATTAAATGACAACAGACATCGACACCACCGCTGACTTTGACTAGTGAGAACCCTCCAGAAAAGCTGCGGCTTCCTACTCATTAAATGTGATTTCACCCTCTATTGTGACACATGGACACATGCTGTCAATCTTAATATCTGGGTTAATATCAGGCTGGATCTCAAGAAGATTAATGAACTCTGATGCTGAGTTTCATCTTACATAAGGAGCAGCTTGCGAGGTTGCGGCTTCCTGGCCACGTCTTTACAGTAAATCCTATGTAATTCTGATAGCTTGTGGCGAGAGCTGGCAAAAAGTCACATAAATCACAATGTGGCAGTGTCACCTCTCTGGCAACCATGTCATCCCTAATGAGGATGAAGTCAACTTTCTGGTGAGCAGCAATCCCCAGCTCGCTCTGGATGCTCTGCAGGTCTGCCGCGATGTCTGGCAGAGTGGTCGACTCTGCCCAGCGGTGGCTGCAAAGAACACACGCGGTGTCAGCCACAAAACACAGATACACCGTGACAACCTGTCACAGGCGCCTCAACTCTGCTCATAATGTTTCCACAGCACATTATTTCAAGGCTCCAGTAGGATGGTTTAGGCTTGATGGGACTCTATTGCTAGGAAAACACACTCTCTTCATACCCGCAAAGGATTTTAAGCATCTTGCATCCGTGATAGTTAGGATACAGGATTTCAGATTCGGCCTCCGATGTTAAAATAGGCACAATTGCTGCAAGTAGAACAGGAAATTGCAAAATAAATGAAAAATTAAATAAACAGATGAGATGAGACAGAAAAATGGGATAACATACTGCACATCTCCGCTCTACCTTTTTGTTTTTGCTGGAAGAGCCCTGCGACCAGGCACTTGGCAGACTCAATGGTCCTCACAATATTAGTGGAGCGCACGCTAGAAATAAGGAGGAAAAAAATAGGTCATTGGAAGGCACCCAGTTCTAAAATAGTAAAAGCATTTAAACTCATATCCTTTGTACTTGCACTCATAAACCCAATCTATCAAAGTGTCAGAGCACAGATATGAGGGGTTTTTTTTCTCCTTGCTCCTCATTATGATTTGGACCACTTACTAGACCTCAGCTGGGTTAAATGTGGAGGTAAGGAAATCGCTTTCTTCAATGTATCTCCCCCTTAGTCTTTTGCCCAACTCATACAGCTGCTGCATGCCCAGTGTGGTCAGCTGACCAGGGAATGTGCCACCCTGCCAAACACAACAAACAGGATCAGGTTATATACCCACAGATGTGGCCGGGCAGACACACACCTGTGATCACATGCAGGAATCCGGGCTGGATGTGGTACAAGAATGGCCGGAGTCCATATTGGGGGATTTAGTTTTCTAAGCTAAATCCAGTGAAGTTAAACCTCTTTAGCAAAGCAGCTCTCAGCACAGGAAAGTAACAGCTCCACGGACACTGTGACCGGACACGATATGTCAATAGGAAGCTCTACGTACAGTTCAGCGGCGAGTGAGTGAGCTCAGGCCAGTGATATCTGTAGTGGCACCTTTAAGCCACTAGATGGAGAAAAACTACATGAATTGAGGAGAGTAACAAGTGTGCTACACACATAAGGTCTATGGAAAGCCCAGAAGAAATGTGTTCAGACATTAACTTTGTCATACCACTAAAAGCAAAGCAGCATTATTAAGTTTATTCCATCATTTTCATAGTGAGAGTCAAAGTCAACTAAGCCAGATGACAGCCAGCAGCCACATCACACCTATTTAAAAAAACAAAAAAGACAATGACTCACACTAAGTATGTTTTTCCGATAGCTGTCTTCTATAGGAGCCGGGGGCCTGGGGCCACCCTGAAGATCTGTCACTACATAGTCGATGCTGGTGTGCGGTGGTGGCTCCAAGAGCGTTGGCACCCACTGGGCCTTTGTTGAAAAAAAGAATTTGCAGTTTTTTTTCATGTGTGAAACATCTTTTTCTCTTAACGGAAGACAGTTTTACCTCCATAACATCAGGTATTGACTTTAGGGGCGTTCGGGCGCCGTGCCGGAACAAGATCTGGACCAGCTTTAGCTCGTAAGGGGAATCAGCGCTCGTGTCAGCAAGGTTGGAACCCGTAGCAGCCTTTTCCGGTTTAGTCTTCTGCTGTGACCACAGCATCGAGCCAAACGCCACGGACGCCGACCCTAACGCAGCCGCTCCGCCCCAAAGTCCCTTCATGGCTGTGCTGTGAACAAAAGACACCAGCTGTTACCACAGAGCCACTGAGAGTGAGATAAAGCATATGCACAGGAGCGAAACAGTCTGTGTCCCTTACATAAGAGATCGATTAGAAAGTTGGAATTTGATCTAAAAACTATTAAAGCTTCCAAGTGCGTGGTTTTAAGAGACTATGAAAACATACAAACATCCATTTAAAACTCTTTTAAACTAAATTATTTGGACATTCTGTTTGAACAACATCAGTTAATCAGCAGTCACAAATCCTCATCAGTCTTTCAATACAAAACTGTGAAAACTCAAAGGATTTCAAATAAACAAGACAAGAAAAGCAGCAAAAGCCTCACATTTAAAAAGCCTTTGTTAGGCCATTAAAATCAGTCTAACAGCTGCTTCTGCTCTTTTCACTAAGCTGTGTTACCTGGTACAGTTAGACCTCCTGTCACGGTCAGGGATGTCAGAGATGATGATGGTGTGGCCAACTGTAACACATTGAGTAAAGCGGAAGTTGTTACTACAGACAGAAGCGTGAGTGTAGAGAATCAACGTTAAAAAAAAAAGTTGACGGTTTCTGATGGTGCAACACTGGTGCAATGAGCTCCCCAGGATGTGACGTTTTCCTCATTAAATATTTATTTTTTGTAACACTATCTAGTTCTGCTATAAAACTCAGATTATTAGCATTTCAACAGCACAGGGCACAGGTTAGGCAACAGGAACTCAGTGAAACACGTTACGAAAACAGAGCTAACCGAGGTGAACTCTAAACTAGCGAGGTGCAGCAGAGGGTAAAGTCCCTGCTGTCAGCTTCGATGCCAGTATCACCAAGGAAGATCACTGCTACCACACAGCCACGGCATTACCTACAGATACAGAATAAAGTGTTACCCTCGATTAAAACATACACGGCGTCCGGGAGATGACAAAATTCACTTCAGTCATTCAGCAACTAAGTTTCCACCGGTACAGAGGCGCAAGTCATGTCGGTAACTGTAGGCCGGCAAATAATGCTTCAGAATAGAAGAAAATAAGAGAGAGGTGAAGATTAAACGACATTTCCCGACATCCCCTCGGAGTACTGCCGCTCTTCTGTTTTTGTTTGGAGACTTGAAGGGGAGAACACCACCAAAGTACGCTACTCCCCTCTACAGGAAGAAACTGTATCTGCATTTCGAAGTAAGAGGATTTGTTACTTTAATCTATTTTATAAAGTTATAGATCAAATATATTCGAATTTGGACTATTTGTTTATCCAAAAGCGAGGATTTTCTGAGCTTTTTTTGTTGTTGTAATCTTTAATTGCAAATGTACACTACTGTGCAAAAGTCTTGAGCAACCCAAGACAATTCTTTTTAAAAATTATAACTTGAGATAAAAATGGATATGCAGTACATTACGGTAAAACAGAGTTTGTGGAGTTCAGACAAGCTTGAAAGTCAATATTTGCTATGACCACCTTTGTTCTAAAGCACAGCCTGAACTTCCCGAGACAAGGTTTTCAGTCTACTTCTTGTGTAATTTGGCGTACCTCAGCACCTTCTCTCTGTTTCCCTTCCTTAAAAGCAGCTTCTTGACAGTCACCCTTTCACTGAGAGCATTTTTGATGAAGCTACAGTGAACAGTAGATGAATAAAAAAGGGCCAGATGCATACTTCAGGTCCTGCGGCAGGGCTTTGCTGGAGTTTTTTCTTGGTCAGTTGCAGGAAAATTAATGAAAAAAGCCTGGAGTTTTGTTGCTTAAGACTATTTAGAAACAATTATAAGAATGTTCAGGTCCTTAAGGAAAATGTAAAGAAAAGAGGGCTGACCCTGATCTGGATCTCAGCCGTCTTATGGCACAAACGTACTTATTCTATGTGTGTTATATCAACAAGTTTAGCTGTTTTTATTTTAGTAAAAGATATTAATACTTGTCTGAATTTCCCCCCAGTTTTTCCTTCTAACTACAGCATGTAAATCTATTAAATTAAATTTCCAAAAGTCTTAAGCAGAACTGCAGAAAAAAAACAAGAAACATGCCCCATTTATATTTATATAAGATCTTTAAAAAGAAGACTTTTTTTCAGGAATTAACTTTTTTTTTAAAAAAAGATGTGAGTCACGCATTCACGTAGAGATACCTAACGCATGACTTGCTCACGAATTCCAGTCACACTGAAGGGACCTTCATCTTCCATATTGCCAGAGTCCTCTTAATCATTACTGAATCATAACTCAAGTAAAGCAAAATCTCCTTGAGCTTACTCTTGTTTGGAAAGAGGTCTTAAAAGGACACCAATTGGAAAAGATATATAACACTTAATAGTTTTCACTGTAGAGTAACTTATAAACTTCCTTGTAGGTTTTCCATTTGTATTAATTTTAGTTTGATGCATAGTCTCGTGTTTGTCTTTCTTTAATGTATGACCATTTATATCCTTTTAAGCTGATTCTGGTTCTTGCACAATTTTCAAACTATTTTTTAAAAATGAATCCTTTAGAAAAGAAGACAGGAAAACATTTTATTAAGCAGCAAATGTGCTATCACCATCCTGGTCTAACTCAGAATACACAAATATCTCTGTGAAGCTCAATCTCAGAAAGCACTGAGGTTCCACAGAAATAAAAATAATACAAAAGCAACAAGGATTTTCCAATTCAGCTTCAGCATGTGGCAGATTAAGCTGGATACCAGACCTCAGCGTCCTGGCAGAAATGGCGAGACAGTCTCTGTTTGTGTAAACATTGCTCATCTTCCACAATCTGTCTCCTGCAGGTCCTTTGTGAGGACGGCAAACAGAAAGTCGCTGCAGCAATGGTACAGTGATTCAGAAATGCTGGAGACTCTTCATCTTTGTTCGAATCTGGAAATTGCATCACTTTGTCTTGATTTCAGCATTTCTGCATTGAGCACGTTATTTCAATGTTAGTTGTTCTAAATGTTCATCTTGTGCAATTCTAACAGTTTAGTGTGTGCATATTTACATATACTAAAGTCTTTCTATGTTCATACGACAGACAAATCAAAGGCAAGTGTTGTACGGCACTGAATAAATCACACGCTGAGAACAACAGAGCAGATTGTACAGCTGATGATTTATTTATTTGTTGTGGGTTTGCGATGACAGTTATTGCATAAATGTGTGTGTGAAATAACCAAAGACTGCAGTGGATGTACAGCAGGATGGACAGTTCTTCAAATATTGTGCTATGTTTATGCACATATACATGTATATATTTTTAAAAAATCATCTTCCACTTGTAAAGACGTATATTCACAACATGGTTATGAACTACCCGCACAGTTACTGTGCTACAAGAACAATACATTCAAAGACACCAACCGACTCACACATTTCTTAGGAACACACTTTTAACACAATGGGTCCGGGAGAGAAAGGGGGAAACGCTAGTGCATTGTTGCCACCTAGTGGCTGAATCCATTCATAACAACATCCAAGCAGGACCGCTTGCTTTTTCTTTGAGGGACCTTCAAAAAGAAAATCCTGTAAAAGGCTACATTCTCTCATTTCTGTGCACAGAAGACTTCTGACTAGTATAGGACTGACTTCACTGACAGGCTTTGAGATTGCAGTGCTATTATTTCCGAGTTACGTTTTTATGTTTGCCTGCAGGTATAGTGCAATCAGGTCAACAAGTGGTTCAAATGACAGTCTCTACCACGGCTTTTAAATAATTACAAAAACAATGTCATAAGGAAATAGATATTTCTGACGCTTGATAAGGCACTTTATCGAAGAGCTTCACAGTTTCTAGCATACTGCGATCTTGTCTATTTATTGCAAATCTTTTTTTCTTTTTTTTTTGCATTTGTGTGTGACAAAAATCAGCTAATCTGTAGTTAACTGGTTTAAAATGAAAGGACTCTCTACTCCTAATGTGCAATAGTCAGGTGTCAAACCTGTTACTCTGTTCTCATTATTCTCCTTTACAGCTTGTTTTGCAGTTTTTCTTTAGAGCTCTAGGACACAAAGCTCACACAAGTCAAGTTCACATTATCCACTCATCACATGTGCTCAAGTGTCAGGCCTTGGTGCTACAGTTCATAGTTAGCCTCAGCTCACGCCTCCATCACAGAGATCTATCTCCCAGACACACATTACTTCCGAAGGTCCAGCCCTTCTTCCTCTCTTCCTCATCCACCACACTTTGTGAATTTATACTGCCAGGTCATCTTGGCGAGCCCTGCTGCTGGTCCCGCTGGTCTTGCTCAGGCGCCGTTTGTCCTTCAAGTACACTGAGTGTAGCAGAGGCAATGGCGAGCAGTTATTGGGCAGGCCTGTTGGTACCTGGTTGTATCTCATCCTGAGGAAGTCTTCATCATCCTCCAGGTTGTCGCAGCTACGATGTCGCTCAGTTGCCAGATTGGCTGAGTTCTGCTGCAGCGCCATTCTGGTGTTGAAGGGATGAGAGGCCATGGAAGTCATGCGGTTTATGGAGGCGGGGGCTGTCAGGCACTGGTTGAAGTCAGGAGGTGGGGTGCAGGAGACTGAGGGTTGTGGTGAGGTGTTGGACTCCAAGGCTGCAGACACCGCTACCGTCACAGCTCTCTGCTTGCTCTTTTGCATCATCTTTTTGTGTATGCACCTCTTGATGCTCTTCCAGCCGAGATGGTAGAGCTCCAACACAGAGAGCAGCAGAGAAACGCCGGCCACCACCAGCATGAAGACGATGAAGACATTCTTCTCCGTGGGCCGTGACATGTAGCAGTTAACCGGATTGGGACAGGGCAATTCCTTGCATAGGTACAACGCATCGAGGAACACTCCATAGATAAGATACTGCACCACAATGAAAGTCACCTCCATCATTGTACGGATTAAAATGCTCAGGACGTAGGTCCGCAGCAGCGCCCCTTTTAGGCGAACTCTGCCACTCCCGTCAGCAACCACCTCCTTTCCGCTCTCCTTCTGCTGGAGGTACTCCTTCTCCCCCTCCAGGTCTCCTCCCTCTTCACCTCTCGCCTCTCTCTCCTCCTGCTCCCTCTTTCGCCGCTTCTCCTCCCTGCGCACTGTGTGCATGGCGTGGCCCATATAGATGAGGGAGGGCGTAGAGACAAAGACAATCTGCAGCACCCAGTAGCGGATGTGTGCGATGGGGAAGGCCCTGTCGTAGCACACATTGGTGCAACCTGGTTGCTGGGTGTCACAGAGGAAATCGCTCTGCTCGTCCCCCCACGAGGACTCTGCCGCCGTGCCCAGCACCAGGATACGAAAGATGAAGAGGATGGTGAGCCAAATCTTTCCGACCGAAGTGGAGTGTTCCTGGACTTCCTCTAGGAAATTCCCCAGGAGGGTCCAGTCCCCCATCGCTACTCACGGCCTGGGCGCACACCTGAAGCACAAAGAGCTGGTAGGAACAACGGGGAAGGTGAAAAGAGGGTGCACCGGAGGGGGAAAGGGGGAGTTTCTGAGGTGGAGGATGAATAGAGTGGAAGAGGAGGGGGAAAAGGGGAAAAGAGAAATACAAGCAGACAATCAGTGACAGCTGTAGATCATCTGCATTCCCGCTGATGGGAATGACCTGGTGTATGAGTGGCATTGTGTGGCACAAAAATAGCCTCTCCGCCTGTGAATCGCTTTAGGGCTGGATACTGTGACATGAGAACAGCCATTTTTTCCCCCGAGAGACAGACGGAGGAGAAGAAATTTGGTAGCCATGTAAAAGAAAATAATAATATTATTATTAAACATTAGATTATGTGTGTTTACATTCCCTCTTGTCCTGTTCCAAATTATTAAAACAGATTAAATTACAGAAAGCGAAACACGCCTCCATCAAAGGGGCGAGTCAGCACAGAAAGACTTTGCCCTTTTTCAGTGCTGTGACCTGGCCTGAGCTGGACATTTCCCATTTCCCCCCGCGGCACACCACTCACAATTTCAGTGCAATGGCTTAGATGGCCACTGTCCTCCCTTGCTGGGATGAAACCCTCCTTCAGATTCCAGTCTCCATCTATCTGGAGGTGTCAGTCAGACTGCTTCTTCTCTCTTTTTTTTTTTTCAAACTAATCTCTTGACTTAAGCATTATTGAGAGTCTGGGTAAGATCCAAACATGGCAGTGACAGGCTGGGAAGTCTCAGCTGAGAATGACCCTATAAGGCGGTTTACTAGACAGCTTTATGGGTGACACAGATGACCGCCATCATGGAGGGGTTAAGAAAACCTGTCAAACTGGATCAAGTGGTGACTTCTAACATTTATGGGCTGAATATGCATGTAGCTACTTTTAGCTTTTACTACGCAATTAAGAAATAAAAGCCGGTTAAAACACCTCAGAAAGAAAAAAGGGTTGAAGGTCACAGGTCAACAGGTTTTTCCAACGCGTCACGCATTTGAAGTTAATGCTCTGTTTGGTGGTGTAGCAGAACATGTAGACATTACTCTAAAGGAGCCAAAAGCCAAATATACTTTCATGGAAGGAAATTATATACAGTATAATCCCTACAAGCAAAGTAAGTAAGCAAGATTTTATTTATACAGCACCTTTCAAGATAAAGTGCTTCACAATAAAACGCCAGAACATAAAACTAAAAGTTAACCAAGCACAAGTCTAAAGAGAGAGAGAGAGAGAAAGAGAGCTACAAAAGCCACAGGGGATGTTAATATGATTTCTTACCACCTCTCATCTCTTCCTGAAGGAAATCCTCGAGCAGCTGTTTCCATAGCAAATAGCTGTTTGGTCCACAGTGCAAGGTTTTGAATCGACTGGCTAACACTGACTCTGGTTATGTGTGACAGCGAGATATGGTCTAAATGACCATGACCATCTGTCTCGCCCCCTCCCTCTGTGTCTCTATGAAGTATATATATGGCAATAAGATGGAAAATCAGGGCATTGTGCTCCGTATCTCTACAGCACAGAGTGGTAGCAAACAAAACACCAGTATGACAACATTTTGGAAAAGAAACGTTTAACCTCCATCCACAGCCCAAGGCTGACAAGCCAATGCGCAGCACAGGAAAACTGCGCTGTGCTATTTTTCCAGCATAGATCTGACACCTTGGATAACTGGACAGCAGCTGGCCCAGAGCCTTAAACGGATAAAAAGCTCACGATCTTTACTGGAAGTAAATCGCAAACAGCTGCAGAGTTGAGGAAGTGACTGAGAATCCAGCCAGCACAATGCCAGGAGACCGCACATTAAAACAGCCACGCTCTTATCAGCTGATACTGACAACAAACCTGTGCAAACCTGGGTAACAATGCATTTCCCCCTGGGCTATGACAAACTATGTGACAATCTCTTGCTGGTTTGCATGTGTCATTTTCTAAATGAATCCCAGATTCGAGCCGTGAGCATAGAAGAGATCCAGAACAAGTCATTTTGTAAAATGATGTTCTTTAAGAGGATACATGTTTTTAATGAGTTTTGCTTTTTAAAGGGAGATTAGGTGAAGACTGATTGTTCCCTAATCTATTTGTACAATGGTACAGTGGTATTCAGACTCTCACACAGTTTCTTAATTTAATGCAATATTAGTTTCAAGGCTGCCAAAGTTCCCCTGTGGTTCTAAAGCTGTGCACCATTTAGATGCTGATATCTTGTAAGCAGGATTTGATTGGGTAAACTGCCTCTTTTAGAAAGGACTTATAGTCCGTCAGTCTGGGCACATGGTGTACATACACAGCGATGAGAAAGGAAGGCAAAGCAGAATTCAGAACAAGTGGTGTGAGGCTGTTTTCTTGGCTACGGTCTCCTTCCCTCGAATACCTCTTCCTGCTCTCAGAGGAAGCAATCTCAAACAATATGATTTCCTGTGGACAGCAGGAGCAAGACATTGAAATGAGCAGAAGGTGAAAGGGGTGGAGGTCAGAGACGAGCTGCTCCTATGAACCGTTTCTGTCAAAGTGCCTTTTACTGCCACTGGTTGTCGATCACACCTGTGCTGCAGGGATTTACTGTGATCCACTGTGCCCTTTTCTGAACAGTGCGCTTTGCCTGTGCACCATCACAGCTGTCAGGTCTGTTTATAATCTCAGTGGTATTGTAATGGAGGAGTAATGGAGAATCTAGTTAGGTTGTATTCAAAATAGCAAAGTGCGTAAATGCAACATTACGTATCACTGACTTATTTCCTTTGACGCTGATCGAAGTGCCTGTGTTTGCACTGAGGGAGCTTCACAGAAGGAAAGTTTATGTGGTGGAGGGATCCTGTGATGAACCAAACAATAAGCTTAGCTTTCTACGAACTGAAGGAAAAACGATGATGTTTCAGCACTGCAAGGTCAATTCAAACCGGGCTCACAGTGTGCAGCCTTATTGTAATTTCCAGTCAGAACATCAGTCAGGCAGCTGAGACAAGTTAAGAGAAAAGTAGCAGCTACTTCACTGAGAGGTGATGGCTGCTGCTGTGACTCACTGTAGACCAACAGGAAAAATGTTGTGTGTTTTCTCTGCCTTGCAACTCAACAATAAATCCCGCAGTCTGTGAGAAGCACATCAGCGGTGCCAGAGGGCGGTGGAGCTTGTTTAAGAACCAGTGAGGCTGGTGGCAAGGCCCGAGGCTAGGGAAATCTTACAGGAACACGAAGCTATGTTTGTATTGCTATAAATTTATGCCCACCAGAGTCACCTTGTGTCATAACACAAAAGAGACATAGGCACATTCCCTCAGTTGTGGTTTCTAAATCTTAGACAATAAAATCCTTTTGATGATATTTTACTGATGAGCTTTATAAACTACACACTCTTTTTCCAACTCCCCCTCAGCCTGCAATGTATCCACAGCCCGGTAACAACAGGGGGCAGGGTTGATTTAAACTTTCCTTCAGTGATGTGCACCTTTCAGCACTAAGCCGTGTTTGACAGACTCCGGATGCTCTCAGGGGATCAGGATACACTGGTTGATCTGCGCTGTCATCACAAGCACACAGACAGTAAGGTGGTGAGTTATACACTTTCCTGGCTCGCTTCCCTCTGATGGGGCATTGTTTAGACTACCATCAGTGGAGGAAAACGTATGTTGTGCATTGAGAACAATCGTGTTATTCGTGTCTGAAAGGATTTGCTGAAGAGATCAGGAAAAGTCATTTCTTTCCTACGGAAGGACAAATTTGGCCTAATTGTATTTTGGAGTTACCAGCATACAAAACCCTGTTAACTGAATAGCCAAACTAGGTAAGAAAATGGTCATGTGCGTTATTTGAAGATATTTAATCGGCAGCTATAAGGCCTGATGCATTTATAAAGCCTCTGTAATGAGCTGCATGCGCTAAGATGGTTTTTTTAGTGTCAGAAATGTGATCAGCGCTGGGGAAAAACAAAACAATCCATAACGCTGCATAGATTTCTGCAGGAAAAAGTTAAATAAACAGCAAGACACTAATGGTGCACATTGTGTTTTAAGCACCTAATTGTTTTTACATGAACCAGAGTTGGGTTGTTATGCTTTTAATTCAATTTTAAATCTAAAAATTATGATATATTGTAGTGATCTTCATCTCTATCACATCCTCTAACCAGGTATAGCATACAATAAAACTTTATTATCTGAAGTTTTTTTGACTCTTGTTACTATTTTACTCTATGACCTTGGTTGTGTTGTGTTGTGTTGTGTTCCTCTCAATGAAACAGCCTCAGTATAGCTTTACTACAGAACCGCCATGTGTTAAAAACAGTACATACAAGTTTTCTGAGCTTATTTCAGTTAGATATCAATAGCATAGTGGATAAGGATATACAAGTTGAAGTCACTCACACTTGGTTATTTTTACTCTCTCGTACTATTTTTCCCAGTTACAATGCACACACGTATTTATTTTTCTAATGCTTGAACTTTAGCACGTCTCCAGAGTCAGTCCCAGTCCTGCAGCAGCTGTTTGGGTTAGGGACTTGTTCCTGAAATGCCAGGATTACAATCGAGGATGAGTGTGTTTAAGTTTAGCTATAGTGGCACGCTGGCTGGTGTTAGGTTGGTGTAGGGTGACCTACAAAGTGGATCTGATTTGGCACGAGAGCGAGAATTCTTCGCTCTCATGTGAGTCACCTGTTGCCACTTCTTACAGACCCGCACGGGTCTGGGCTCCCATATATCAGTCACACCAGCAGAAGCCAGCAGGCCGATGTGCTGTCTGCTACCTTACATGGCTGTCTGGCTCTTCATCTACCCACTACTGTACACAGACCCACAGCCCTGTTATGATCTATTGTTGTGCTGCATATGGCATTACGCTGGAACCTTCAGGCCAGAAAGCTGCAAGGTGTTTCAGGGAGCAAAACAACCTCCTAACAAACTCCTGATCATGAAAAGCAGTTTTATCTATTTTTATTTCGGTGTTTACTTATTTGAAGACAGTCTATATACTCAGTAATACACATACCATTCAGCCTTGGCATAGGGCACTGGTTTCAGATTAGCGAGCTGGTAATCTTTTTTCTTTTACTGGCAGGTATTTAAACAAATCTCTTTTTTTATGATGGCAGAGGGAGTCTCGATTCACACTAAGACATGCTAATGGCTACTTTTAAGTGTGAATGTATCAGCTGTTGGTGCTTGAATGTCAAACAGAGGAACACTGATACAGATTGAGGTTGAATATCCTGCTGAAATCACAGAGTAAGATTTTTTCTTTTTTTTTTACTGAGCATCACATGAAGTTATAAATCTGTTATTTTGAAATATGAAGTCCTAAAAGTTCTTACTTCATACATAAAAACGGCACTTTTTGGGGAGTAAGTTAAAAAGAAATGTACAGTTCATCTTTGAAACAAATCCCTAAATAGTAAGTAAGGGAGAAAAAAACGCCCCAAACTGTATCATTACGACATTAAATACCGCCCGTGTATTTAAGAGGCCTCTTTGATTATGAAAGACTTGCTTATAATAGAGCAGTTGTGCTCCGTAGCACTGTTACTAAAGAATTTAAATGTCTTCCACCGTTGTTCAAGCCTGCTTGAACAAAAGAGTCCTTTAGTTTTTGTTTTTGTTCGCCTGTATTTCTCTATGAACACTCAGAAGAGTAACTGGTATCTACAGGCAACTCATTAATTTGATTTTATCCCTTCTCTGTAGAAGAACAGAAACTGTAAGGGTAAATTGTGCTAGCATTAAAGTAGAATTATCACGGCACAGGGATAACGATTTCTTAAAGTCTTCATTGAGTAGGTATGCATTGCTGGTGGCTCTGTGCTTTAGGTTACCTCCAGTACTGTGCTTTGTTTGAGTATATTTGTCTTATATGAAAGCCATGAGGGAAGAAGAGCGAGACGAAAAGAGTTAACGCAAGTGGGTTGACAGCTGTACCTGCCGGGGAGGACAGGGGGTTTAACACAGACCAGGCCTCTCACTCCATCGTACCTCTCTTCAAGATATCATCACTCCCTTAAAGACTTCATCGCTGCTTTAGTAAGATGCTCGCAGCTTTTTACCAGAAAGTCTGCATCATTTCACTGAAATTGCATTGAGCATTATTAGAGGCTTCTATGCTTACTCACCGTTCTGCTTTAGTGCCGATATTCGAGAAGCTGCTTTCAATCAGGCAGAGATGGTCCCTCAGAGGAACTAAGTCTTCCTTAAGTTAGCGGACAGATGGCAGGTGTAGATGCAGATGACCACAGCGCGATTGTAGGACCACCTTCTTGTGGGCATCAGCAGAAGATGACTCTTGACGCCGGCATCTGAGCGTCGTGTCTTCCCACCACGAGCTGTTTGTCCACACAGGGGGCACGAGAAGAAAAAACAGGGCATCACGAGAGAGTGTTTCCCCCATGGACCTCCCTTCTCTTTCCCTCTCTCTCTCTCGCTTCCTCCTCCTCCATCTCCTCCTCTTCCTCTCCACACTCCCCCTTAATTCTTACATCCCTGGTGCTCTATTTTTTGCTGGGAAGCGTTCTCTGGAAGGGGAAGTTGAATTGTTTGTCTGGGATCAATGGCAATTCCTGTCAGAGTAAACTTCAAGACAGTTATTTACCATGCGACTCTTGGGTTTACGGCTGAGTTTTCTGTGTTCAGGGTGAAATTCCCACAGTGTGAGATGTAAACTGTAATGAGGTGAGGTAAATCCAAATTATCTAGTGAAAATGGGATTAGCTTTAATTCAACGACCAACAACTTTACTCTAAGTTGCGTTTTCAGGAAACCAGTAAACACAGGAGAATCAAGATTTCGGTCAAAACACCGTACCTGCTTTGTTCACTTGTTCGTCTCAAGGTTTCCCTTCATCCCTCCTCAAAAGTCACACAGACCTGCAACCAGTTGGTGAAGTTTGGGATTGCAACAAAGAGTCACAAACAAAACCAAAATAGCTCATCCTCCTCTTCCCTTGTTTCCCTGTTTGCTGAATGTAATGTGAGTGTCAGCCGAGGACCCCCTGTACTGGCCTCTGCCTGCAGACACATGTTCTATTATATAACAGGAATCTTTCAGGTTTAATTCCTCCTTGCTGGAGGCCATTCCAACGGTTATAATGAAGTATTGAGAGCAAAAACACACAGGCAGATAACTTCTCTTCTCGCATGTCCTTAACGTCTTTCAGAAACATTCAGGTTTCCCACCACTTCACATTTCATTTTAAAAATAATACTAGGTCATTTAGGAAAATACATGTACTTTATGTGGAACTATACCCATTATGCAGTGTTAGCGTCATAGAAAATGTAACAGCAACACCAGACTGGTTAGCTTGGCTTCCAGGAAGTTACTGCACCTGGCCAGGAAATAACCTGCCTCGTACCCACGCCTATAACCACAACAGGGAGGAATGAAGATTAAACAGGTCCTGTAATCAGACGAGATGTTATTTGCTGGGAACAGAGAGGAGCTCCTGGGGACAATTTACAAGGTTTACCTGAACTTGGTTATTGATGAGAAGATTTTAATGTTAAATTTACAATAGGTCTACATACAGAGTTTTAAAGAAAAGTTTTTGTGGGGTTTGTTATGTTGAATCAAGTTGTCGTCGTTTACTTGATAATAGTCTCTCACAAAGATTATGCAGCATATTGAAGAGCGGAGCTTTAACTCAAGCTATAAGAGGTACAACTACTGTACCAAAAATGTTGTGACTTTTAGTTTCTACTGGTAATTTAATTAAGAGGATACTTCAAAGCCTACAAATGAAATTATTCTAAGTCAGATATCAACAATGAAGATTTGGCTTGCACCAGATTACACTGCCTAACTGTCTATTTTAGCGATACTGAGGCCTCGAGGTCTTTAGCGCTGATGAGTGTCCAATAAAACTCTAAAAATGCTGGGAGCTAAAATTTTGTTTACTATTATGTACAAATTGTTTTTTTCCCTAAACAACACCAGGTTCTGGAAAGAAAAGCAGATTTAACTTACAGAGTTACAGACCTTTTTTTTTTTTAAGCATTGTAGTCCAGTCTTCCTTTTTTGAAATGGTTTTAATGCTCTGTCTAATTGTCTCAAGATTCTGGGACAAAGAAAAACCCTTAATAAAAATGTCTATTCACAGACCACAGTAAAGTATTCCCATCAAACGTCTGCAACTGTATCTACTTTTTACACATTCAGAATAAACATGGGTATTTATCCATTTGATTATGTGGCACAAAAGACCCTTTTCAGGGCCTCAGGAGCCTATCCCAGCTGTCTTAGGGTACACCCTGGACAGGTTGCCAGTCTGTTGCAGGGCTAACACATAGACACAGACAACCATTTGCACCTATGGGCAATTTAGAGTTACCAATTAACCTATCCCTACTAAATGCATGCGATTGAACTGTGGGAGGGAGCAGGAGTACCTGGAAGGAGCCCACACAAACACAAGGAGAACAAGCAAACTCCACATCAAAAGGCTGATGAACTGAACTCAGGACCTTCTTGCTGTAAGGCAACAGTGCTAACCACTGTGCCACCATGTGCCATGTTGTTTAAGAGAAGTAGGACCTCTAAGTGCTCAGATAATTTGTATATAATTCTGATCTGATGTGATTTGATTGTTGATTTTATCTCTGAAATTGTATATGTCACCTTTTGTGTTATCTTTTCTTTACCTTGTCGGCCCGTGTGACCTGACTTTCCTTCTTAACTCTTCAGGATTTGTCAAAAGGTTGTCAACTGCACCTTCACATTTAATACTTAGGCTCTTGACAAGAAAGCAAATAGGATTATTTACCATAAAGTCAAACTTTTCTTTTACAGAAGAGTTTCCATCGACCTTGTTATTCTATTCAAAGACTCCCATAACTTCTTAATTACTGATTTGGGCCTCTTATCCTTGCCAATTTCATGGCCTAAATTGTCATATGAATGGTTAAATTCTCCTCTTTAACAACTGTGCCTTTGACTGTGGAACTGGAAAAATCTTTAAGTATAAATAGCAGGAGCACCAAGTAAGAAGGATCTTGTGACAAACTCATTAACTTCTGGCCCGAGGAGGTATGACCTCTGCTGTACTCCCACCCATATACATACAGTATGGCCATATATATGTTTTACATTAGTTTTATATAAGTCTGTTCTTTCCCACTCTTTGCATGCAAGCTTAATTTAAAGAAATGTGTCTGGGTGTAATGTTTCTGAATATTTCTTCTTTCCTTCTTCATTTTTCAAAGGTTGCTGGTCATTAATTAAATAATTTACTCTTTTTTCCCTTCATTTCCTTCGTCAAAAGCCCATGGAGTATCTAACACCCCTTAAAGGCTTCAGTCAGCTTCACTCCATTTTTTGAAGGGATGGAAAAGTTGTTGCTAATTCCTAATTATGAAGCTTTCCACAGTTTAAAGGATGTGCTCTGATGGTCCCATTGTGTTGAACATCAGGATGGATTTAGAAGCGGAACAGCATTCACATCCAATAACAGCACGAAGAGATTTGTAACAAAGAAGTGCTGTCCATGACTTCAAGTAATCTTGTCGCTTAGAGCTTCTCAGTAGTGCCAGGATGAGGTCTGAACATGTGTGTATGTGTGACAGTGAGCTCAAGAGTGGGAGAGGATTGCATTATATGAATTTCTATGAGTGAGCGTAGTATGCAGAATTTGTACTTGAGTGTTTGATGGAAAAATCCCACACTGCCAGGATGCATTAACATAACCCTCCCCTATAGCCTGAGAGTCTGACCCCTGCACATTTCAGCCCTGCCTCACCCAAGTCCAAGGGAAGCCATGTTTGATGGACATGCACTTCTGAATGGTCATCACAGCCTTATGTGCACCCACTAACGGGAATTTGTAATCCACAGTAGGAAATTCTCAACACGGAAAGTCAAGGTTGTTTAATGTAATTAAAATAATTATATGCGCTTGTATGTACGCCTATATCACCACAGACTCTAGGTTTTTAACTGTGAGTTCATAACCGACGGATGGGTCCCTCTTTTCTTAAGCCCAGACAAGTGTTGGCCCAGAATGTCACTTCCAGAAACAATTCAAAATTTCAGATGATCAACCCACAGGGCAGTTTACAACTTTGCCTCAGTCCATCCAGCGAAAGTGGCGGTTTTTAGTAATGTTGTTAATTCATTTATGTATTTATTTATTTATGAGTATAATAGTGAAACATGTTCCTAAGGTTATGTCAGGATTTCCAGCACAGAAGTGTGTCTGGTTTTACAGCCGACGGGGCCAGAAGATCACAGAGGCTCAATGATAATTTTTTTGAAATACACAGTCATGCCACTGACTACCAATAAGCATATTTAGCTATGATATTTCCAGATGTTTTTTCTTAACCACTACACATATTTTGGGTCTTAAATTAAAAAAACAAACAAAACAAAAACATAAAATACGCTCAAAGTGAATTTTTTGGCAGGTTTTAACTAAGATCATGCTTTAGAGATAACCCCATGAGCTAATGATGATCTTTCTTGAGTTCCAAAGAGACATATATACGGTGGCCAATTTCCCAAGGTCTAGCTCGCGTAGTCCCATGTGCTCCAGAATCAGTGTCCTCCTCAATCCTGGTGATTGGTGCAGATCCTGCCACTATAAACCAAGTAAGTAACACGGGTTTAGTTGTTACTAGAATAACTTATTTGCAATATGCGTATTTAACATTTTCATTACAAAAACACAATACTTCATTTTAGTTGTAGTTGAGGGAGCACAGTGATCTACAGTGAATAGTGGGGTTATCCAGCTAAGTTCAGGCTTAAGGAAATGGTGGGTTTTCAGAATAACAAATCTTATCAGGGTTTATCACCATGGTAACCTGTTGCTACAGACACCTTAAGTCTGCAGAAGATTTCCCAGAATACATATTAACATTGGTACCAAACGGAGAGATCATATATCTCCAGCTTTAGCCTCCCTACACTGGCTGCCTGTCTACTACAGGATCCAATTTAAACTTTTACTTTTTGTTTTTAAGTCACTTCACGCCCGAGCCTCTTCTTACCTGTCTGAGCTCCTTTCTGTTTATGCTCTAGGAAAAGTCATGAGGTGTAGCTCAAAATTAATGCTATCCATCCCACGGACTAATCTCACATCTCGTGGCGATAGAGCCTTCTCTGTGGCAGGTCTCAGACCTGACCAAGTGCACAAACACTTGATCAATTTAAATGACTTCTGAAGACATATTTTTATGTCCTGGCTTTTAACACACTATGACCCAAGCATTTTGGTCTTATTTAATAGTCTTAGTTATTTTTTAAATTCTTTTATTATCCTATCATTGTTTTATATTGTTATTATTGTTTATATATTGTTTCTTTTTAATGGCATTTTTATATTGTTAAGCACTTTGTGAAGCATCATCTTTCTGGAAGTGTGCTATATAAATAAATTTGACCTCTGACCTTAACAGGTACGAAGTCACCGCCTACTTACCAATCAGCTGAGTCACCATTCCTGATCCTTTGGATGTCTGCACATGTCTATGTTTTTCCCTGATGAGCATCAATATAGATACTTGACTTTATTTCTCGATTTATTTATTTTTTATTTTTTATTTGTTAACAGCAAAAATGCCATAATGAATGATCCTAAAATGCTACACCTCTAGTAGACCTTACATCAAATCTGCACAAAATCTAAGCATGTGGTTGAATTTTGCTTTTACATTTAATCTTTAGTAGATTCTTAGATGGTTTAAACTCACTGGGCCTGCAGGTGAAATAAACTATGACTGTCTTACACCCCTCTAAACATTAATTTAATGGATTAACAATATTAATTGTTAATCCATCTGATTGTTCTGTGTCTAAATGTCAGGGCATTGAAACCCTGTTAACTGATATAGTCAGGACACTTTCAACCTTCAAATAGGCTAAACTTTGTTAATACAGTGTGCCCTTTCCAGTCTTCAAATATTCATAAAGTGTTTCAAATACTGCACCAATATTATACAAGACACATCTCCTGGATGCACTGGTACGCATCTTCAGTGATGTATCCTGGGGTCATCAGGTGTTTCGGGTCTCACAACATCATACACCCTCACCCAGGTGACCCAGCCGGGGTGATCAGGCCCCGACTTGCGTACCAGTAGCTACCCACGGATCAGCCCTCTTAATCCACAACCACCAAGTGGCTTTCTCTGCCGCTTCGCTCACAGCCTGGATGACCCTCTGTTTGGCTGCCCCAGCCACACCCAGTCGGCCTAGGACTTTGCAGAGTGATCGTCCCGCAAAGCCCCTACAACCCACTTCTATGGGCTCATAGAAAGTCTTCCAGCGCCTTCCCCTGCACTCCTGCACTAGTTCCTGGTACTTTCCTCGTTTCCTTTCATTGGCCTCCTCAATCCGCTCTTCCCAGGGCACTGTGAGTTCCAGCATGATCAGCTCTTTTGAGGCCTCAGAAATAATGATCATATCTGGCCGGAGGGATGTTTTTGCAATGTGCTGTGGGAACTTAAGTTGTTTACCCAGGTCAGCCTGTAGCTGCCAATCAGAGGCTGTGTTTAGGAGGCCGGTTGTTTAAATGTGGGTGCACCTGGGGTTTCTCTCCAGCCTTTATGAAAGAGATTGCCTTCCTTGGAGCATGATGGTATATATAATGGTAATATAGACTACATTGCTATAGTACCCGGCTGGTATCTTCATATCAGCTATGCATTAGGCTATATGTTTAACCTCTTCATATTTTCCTGATGTTATGGCTTTATCTTCCTTGCAAAATGAGACCAGACGCTGCTAGCGCCACCCCTTTCAATTACCTACAATGATAATTTCCAGTTTAGCTTGTCAAGATAACAAGTATTGTACGATCGCTCAGCCTCATGTTAGCATAAGTGACGGCAAAAAGCAGAAAGATATCCTGTGTATGTTAAACTTGCTTCATATTATTACAGGGAATAAAAAGGGGCAAAATCTTGACTGAAGTCAAGCATTGATGCGAATGGCATGAAGTAGTGGTAGCTAGATATACATCAGGAGCCTGATAGTAGATGAAACTCAGGTTCCCAGGTGATGTGAAGATAGCAGTGGAATGTCACATCAGATAAAAAACACACAAATCCAGCGAGAATGATCACTATCTTAAAAACACTACTCAAGGAGAGATAAAAAAACAGAGAAAACACTACGAATGACAATGATACTGAATTGATATTTCATTTATAAGTGACTTAACAGTTACTCAAGCCATGAGTTTCCAATCGTAAGCTGTTGTAAAGTAAAAAGAAGACCTTATTAGTTTGATAGTGACACAGTTTTTCAAGGTAGTATGTTTCAAGACCAATGGAAACACAGACCACACCCTTTTCTCATTGACGTTTTTACTGAGAACTATTGGTTATTATTAAAATACTGTCGCTCCGTTGACAAGCCGTGCAGAGCATGTGGTTGAGGCACTAAGTGATTAGCCATGCTGTCTGCACATTATAGGCCGACAAAGCTTTGAACCAACAAGGTCGAAATTGCAAGAGGCCCACAGTCGTTGTATTTTAGACGTCACATAAGTCTCCACAAAGTGAGATCAGCTCTACTCTTACCAACAACACTTTGATCCTTATTGTGGCACAGATGGCAAAAAGGCTGATATTCATATTCACAGCCTCATCATGTGTACCACAGTGAGGACTTCTCTTTAACATGGTTTTATTACATTTACAATGATTGCCTAACGGTGGAAAAGGGACCAGGACCCCCTCGTTCCACTGTTATTTCTGTTCACAGTTGCACTGATCACAGTCTGTGTTTTTATGGCAACACTGAATGTGTGCATCTGAGGCAGCATCACATAATTAATACGACAAAGCCGTCATTGTTGATACAAGAAGTAAATGAACAATGCTGGGAAATTAGAATTTTCTCCTGATTTTGTGACATTCTCATATGGGGCGCAACAAACTTACAAACATAAACACACTTCTGAAGACTCGCTCTGTCTTTATTTCTTGTTTTGCTTTTGCTACAAATTGTTTTAAATTTTTACCTGTGTTACTGTCAAGCCACATAATAACAGTAGCACAGGTAGAGGAGTCATAAAGGAAGTGAACTATCTGAGTAATGTTGAGTAATACCAATGGCTTTGGCACTGACTACTATGTACAATTCAGTTGCGATCCTTTCAATGGTGCAATGAGAGAATGTGGGATGTGGGCTGTAAACCTTTTTTGGCTCATGATCTGTGACATGCCACAGAGAAACAACACTGCATGATAACGGTTGTTTTCAAAGGCCTCACTTTACATTTGAAATTTGGAGGATTAAATAAATCACATAAATTAAATAACAAATAGTTTGAATTTAAACTTCACACTGTAATATTATTAGCTGACTCTAAATTATTTAGATGCATACAGCTGTTTGACTTCAGCTGGAGACACAAGCTCCATTTTAGGTTGTGCCAGCAAGGTCCTCTGGTGTAAAACCGCTAAATCAAACATGCAAAGCAACCTGCTGTGGTAACACCCTTTAGCAAGAGATGAGCTGAAATTAGATTAGTCTTTCGATTCTACATTTTCCAGTCTTTTGTTGTTCAGTTTTGGTGAGTCTGTGTCATGAATTAAGCATTTTTACCCAGAGAACTACTGCTCACTGGATATTTTCTCTTTTTTGGGCTATTTTCTGTAAACCTTAGAGATGGCTGTGTAGGAAATTCTCATTAGCTCAGCAGTTTTTGAAATACTCAGAGCAACACCCGTGAAATGTTGTTGGTACCAATGACTTAAATCACTTTTCTTCCCTATTCTGATGCTCAATTTGAACTTCAGGGCGTGTTGACCATGCCTACACACCTAAATACACTCATTAACTGATTAGATATTTGTGTTCCTGAGCGGTTAAAGAGATGTAAGTAGCCATGTGGTCAGTGACTGTGTTATACCCTTTCAAGTTAATACGGTGAACAGGTTAGCAAACAAGAGTGTGATTTATATTATATTTAGTTATTAAGTTAAAATACTTATTTGATGAACTTCTATTAACATTAAAGAACACTAAAGATTGTTAAAATGTAGGTCTGACATTTTGTTTCAATCTCTACTGTCTCCTGAGAGCTCAGGGTTTAGCTGCTGAATCTTTCCATATGTTCTCTAGCAGACACATATGGCAAGATAAGCACAGTTTGAATACACGCTATCAAAACAAGCGGCACACTTTCTTTTTAAAACAAGGCTGGAGAGTAAATGGAGCTGTAGCCCACTGTATTTTAAAGAAAAGCCATTATTTTCTGCATCTGTATCAAATATTAACATATTTACATGGAGTGAAAAATACCCAGGGGCCTCAAATAAACGTCAGTGAGGCATACTGTAAAGTCAGCTATCAGTGTTTTTATTCCAAAAGCTTTTATAAGATTATTGAATGTTTGAATGTCGAAATGAAAGCAAACAAAATCCATGCAGAGGGCCTTGTCAGTTCCTTCTCCACCCTCCTAAGAACAAGGTTATCAAGATATGGAAAGAGCCGAAGGAAGCATGGACTTAATGCCATATTTTCGCCACCAAGGTAGAATTACAGCATCCCAGTGTGCAGCCGTGAAGAAGGAGCCTAACAAATGCAGGAAGAGGGATATCTGTGTGACCCCTCACCCAAGACGACTAACTAACTGAGACATGAGGACAGATGGGTACTGTGTGTATGCATGTGTGTGTGTGTGTGTGTGTGTGTGTGAACAAATTTAGCCCATATGTTTTCAGTTTGTATGATGGCTGAAGACAGACACGGGGTGTGTTTAAGTATGCCTCCTATATAACCCTAAAAACAAACAGTGAATGAAAGAACAGCTTTGTTGGTCAGATCCAGCAGAAGTGCGACGTGCAGCCACCAGGCAAGGGCAACAAAAAAGCAGTTTAGTACTGCTTCTTTCTGCCTGATGGACCCCTGAGTGGAACTATTTTAAATCAAATAAATAACAAGCAAGAGGCACTTTTACAGCTGATTTAACAATTTAAGTATGTTCATGAATTGTTGTTGTGTATTTTCTGTCTTAGACACTTTACCGTGGCTATGTTTTATGGCTTCCTGCTCATTGTTAAAGTGTCCCAGATGCATTCGAAGAAACACGATCAAGTTATAAATCATTGCCAGCGTAGCATATGTGAGAACACCTCGGTGGTGGCTGCAAGTAGATGGCTGACCGCGTGTCCAGTTCTATCTGCAGATAACATTGTGTTGGGTGGTTGGCTCACTGAGAGGATCTGAGCATGAAGTCATCCTGGGTCTGGCCTGGATTTCCCTGATAGAGAGACAGAGGGTGTTACTCT